ACCAAGCCAATGCGCTTTCCGGATCAACATCAATCATGACCACCACCAATTATAGTTGATGATTAACAAGAATATGAAATAGATATTATTTTGGAATATTGTTATCTTTGTTGTGGCAGTGGATATCCACAACTTCAATACAAAGTCCTTTAGAAAGGTAATTCCATCCAAAATGCAACATAGAAACCTGTACAAAACCTCACCTATTGCCAAGAAACAATTTAGAGATACCATTGAGAGCAAAATGAGGATATTTTGGATTAGTAGAAGGAGATTAATTGTAATGGGGTATAAATAAGATATTTATATTATTGACATATAGGAATAAATAGTTTGAGATATGATTGAAAAGTTTATAGAAGTTTATAAAAATTGAAGTTAAGTTAGTAGGCTATGTAGGATCTACTATGGAACATTTTAAATAGAACTTAGGATGGTTATCGAGGTAGAGCCCCTTATTAGGAATATTTTAGAAAGTTCTAGGATACTTAGACAAAGTATAAATAAGATTGGCCAAGGCTATTTGGGCATCTGGTCAAGTATGGCTTCAAACCTTTTTTCTTACTGAAGTTTGATTTTGCATCTTCTTGTTCAATTCTATTCTATTTTTTTATTTTTATTTTTATTGTAGTTTGCTTTGTCCTACATTGTAATGGGATTTATATTATTATAGATTAGAAAGGTCTTAGATTTTTGAGATAGTCTAGTCTCGTTTCATAACCAATGCCATTGATAACATTGGTAGTTTTAATTCAATTTAAATTATTCTATTGCAAAGGCAACGTGGCTACAAATTGAATATATAAGTGATGGAATTTTAAATACAGTTATGTAAAGAATGATGTGGAAGTATTAGCATGCTTGTACAATTGGAAGAAAAAGAGGCCATTCTTGGTATTAATTATATGTTGGTGAAATGAAGTGGCTATAGAATTGTGATGTATAATTATACATTTCTTTGTTACAAGATTTATATAGTGTATTTGATATTGATGCTTAAAAATATATTAGCACATATGTGTTATGTTGTTTTCACTTTTACAACATAGCTCCAAAAGATTTTGATTTAAGTATATTGCATTTGTTTCAACAAAGGCAAAGATGAAGAACCATAGGGCTGAACTTTAGTTGAAGCTTGCATTACTTGGACAATTTGATAAGAAGATTGTTTATATATATAGCATGTAAGAACTATTGAATGATTTTTTGTTAAACAACTATTTCATTTTAAAGGTAGAAATTTGGAATCACTAACTCAAAACTTACATGTATACATGGAAGAATAGATGTTATAGGCTATCATATATACGTGCTAAAAAATTAGGTCAATTCTTGATCCAATGTCACTTTAAAAACCTCAAAGATGAGTTGCAAAGTATGGTTGAACATCTCAATACAAGGAGTTGTTTGTATTGATATAGAGTTTGGAAATTTGGATTTTGAAATGAAAGGGAGTTGTATTTTTTAATGTGTTGACATAATTCATTGTATTTTATTTATCTTTTGGATTTTGATATTTACTATAATTATAGATTTGGTTTTGTTTTAAGATATTGAATGCCAAATTTGTTTTGTTGATACACCAATGCATTTGAATTTTGAAAGCAACTATATATAATTATTAAATGTTGGATGTAAAAAGAGATGGTTGCAAATGGACAAACATTAATTTATAAAACTACTTTGTACTACTATAAATTATGCCAAGCATTAAAAAAAACAAATCTACAATCAAATTGTATCAATTATACTTATAAATTTCTTATAGTTTTCATGTACTAGGATTTATATATTACTATCTAATTTTTTTAATCTCAACAATAGAAGTAGCCAATGTGAGAAAAAATCCTTGTCCTAATTTGAAAATTCCTTGATATGCAAGTAGCTTGAGTTCAAAGAAAAAAAATAGTGAAACTATAAAGAATAAAGAACTTTTAAGGACACTTTGATTTTTTTGTTAAAAACATAATCTTCTATGTGAATCCATTGTTGTAATTTGTAATTGGAGGGCTGATGGAGAGGAAGATCATCAACAACATCTACAAGGCATGGAGAGTACATAGAGAGGGTACATTTTTTAAGAAGGATCCAACAAAGGTGGATATGAATAGGATGTACATTGTATAGCAAGCAACAAATATCATTGTCATATTAGAACTAAAGCAAGTGTACATTGTGTAGGTGTTGCATGCAATCGAGATGCCTAAGCCACTATTGATGTTTGTAGACATGTACATGATTAAAAAGATCCACAACTTAGAGATATTAAAGTTGGTAAAGGAGAACTTTGGCTTTAGGCCAGAAATAAGTAAATAAACCTAAATTTGAAGAGAGGCAAGAATAAGAGGTTCTAGAAGAGAGTAGTGTACAAGCACTTCGAGAGGAATGATCCAAATTTTATATAAGAGGTAGTAAAGCCACTAAAATAGAAAAAGATGGAGCTGTAGATGGAATAGATCAATAGTATGAAAAATGTAGGGATATAAAAAAGATATAGGATAGTATTATCTATAATTGGAATAAAAATAAGAATGTGGAGATAAAAGAAGAGAAATATATGGAATAGGTGGTGTATGGCAATTGCACACTTTGATTTTCTTTTTGTTTAAAATGCTTGAAATTCCACTAATGACTTACTCTCATCATTTCAAACAAGTAATAATCAATCCATAATAAATATGTTATTTAATTTAGTTATGATTTATTCATGATATGATAATTTGAAATTAAATAAAATCTAAATATTAATTATTTAAATTCTAATTAAGAATTTTATAGAATTTATTGTTGATATAATTTTAAAATAATTAAAATATATAATTGAATAGATTTAAAAATCTAATTCAATATTTAATATGTAATGATTCAATTTACTTCTATTTTTTTAAAATATATGAAAATATGTTTGCCAATGATTCATCATATTTATATCAATAAATCACAAATAATTAAACATATTATTTTATTTATTTATTTATTTGATTTTTTAAAAATCAAATATAAAAGATTTTTAATTTTAATAAAAAAACTCAAATATTAGCATCTTTGTTGTAAATTATTAAAGAAAAATTAATAGTTCCATTGTTATATATATATATATATATATATATATATATATATATATTCTTAATAAAAAATTCTTTAAGACTATTCAAATTTTGACTTTGTAAATAAAAAATTAAAATTTTAACAATATGAATTTTAATAAATTTTTTGTACTCAACAATATGAATTTTTACTACTTGAAGATAAATATTTCACGAATATGTTTGTTTTATCTCTACACAATTATGTTGATGATCTAAAGATGTGTACTATGGAAAGATTTCTTGGAGTTTCACGTGTTTATCTCAATGCAAATATAGCACTTATAGAAGATGGTGCCAACAATTGTAATTATTATCTAATCAAGTATTTAAATAGCTTAAGTCTATTTAGATTGCCACTATTTAATTTAGAATTGAAGATTGGATGTCTTATTATGTTGTTGCAAACTATTGCTTCACGTTTAAGATTTTGCAATGGATTATACTTAATCATTATGCTCCTAATTGATTGAATTATAGAAGAAAGGTTATTATTTAGAGACTACAAGGGACAATTGACTTTTCTTCTAAGAATTATATTATGCCTATTATTTGCAAAGATTCTATTTAAGTTATAACAAAGGTAGTTTCCAATAAAAGTGGGATTTGCAATAATCATTAATAAATCTTAAAGACAATCTTTGAAGAACATAGGTATAGATCTTACAACCCTTGAATTTGTATATGGACAATTGTGTGTTGTCCTTTTATAATGCATTTTTCCAAATATGTTGAAGTTCATATATCTTGAAAATAACAAAGACAAAAATATTTTGTTAAATACAGTTTATCTTGAATTTCTTTCAACATAGCCATTTAGGTTGTAGTAAATAAACATTATGTTTGTCAATTACATTAAAGAAACATAAATGGTTCCATTGTTATGCATTTACTCTTCTTTTCTTTTCTTTTCTTTTCTTTTTTCTCAACATTTTTTTTGGAAGTGGTCAATTTTTGAATTAGCAACTACATATTAAACTTTTACATTTTTTTTTTGTAGCCAAAGGCATGGATTTCCACTAGTAAATAAATAAATCTACTACACATTGATGTTTGATTGTTAAAACAATTGATTATAAAAGACATTCATTATTTAAAAAAACTTATTTATCATTCTTCTACAAATGGTTGTAGGAATAAAAAATGATTATGTACAATTCTTTATCAATTATACAACTCTTATCATGTTTTTAATTTAACTCTTTTGAAAATTTTGATTCTCTTTTGTCAAAGTAATCTCCAAACTTAAACTCATAAATAAATATTATACCTAAATTATCATCTACAAAGCTACTTTTGAATAATACCATTTTTTGCATATGCATTTCTCTCTATTCACCTAATCACATTATTCTTGCTATTAATTACCACATTTGTTATATCATTTTGATCCATATTTTGATAAGTATCATTCCTTACATTCATCCACTTGGAGCTAATAAAGTAAACAATCACTCCCAAAAAAAAATGAACTTGTCCAAATTTACATGAACATTTATCAACAATATTCATCCCCATTCAGTCAATGTGGGGTAGTTTCTCAAGGACCTCTCCGCATATTCTATTCAAGAAGGCATTATGTGAGATTGAATTGCAAATTGCGGCTGGGCTCGATTGTTAGCAAAGTTCGAATTCTAAGTTGTATAGTAAAAGACTGCGTTTTGCTTATTCAGATGCAAGCTCGCAGATCTTTGAGCGAATGTACTCGCATGTGATCGACAATGGCAAGCAACAATATCGTGTGTCGTTCTTCGAAACTGCTCACCGTGCTTCATAGAAACACTAGGGGAGGAAGGGGTTACGGATAAACCAAAAACAAAAATAATAATTTAATACTCGAGAAATGTAATGGCAAATTCGAGAAAAGTAATGGCAAAGTACGGTGAGCACCTGCTACAATCCCAACTACTCATAATTGATCGACTTCAGCAGGAGAACTGTTATATTCACGACCTTGCTTAACTTCACATGGTACACCAGAAACGAATGAAAGGTCGTTATAAAAATAGTTCATTTCAGTGAACTCCTCGAGAAAGCCTCCTAATTGATGAACTTAGATGCCCTTGAAACACATGCATCCATATTTTCTATTGCCAATACTCGACAAAAGGGTTTGAAAATTGAGGAAGGGTAGAAAAATTGCACCTATTGTGCGCTATTACGATTCAAGCACTCGATCATTTTGAGACAAGTCAGGCACATGGTGGTTGATTTGGTTTTTCATCTGGCGTAGTCTGACGCTTTGTTCACGCCACTCAGTCCAAGCTGCCCTAACCTCTGCTATTTCGGATTCGGGAATCTTTACGTTTCTTTCCAAGTTCATAATCCAGATGCTCCAATTTGATGATTTCGCACTTATTAATGGCGATATATCTGGCATCAAAACATTTGCACAAAATTCGTCCACTCTTTCGCGAACAGCACTGCTCATCTCCAACTTGGGATGCTTTTCTTGGATACGTAGTGCCGGTGGTTTGTTTGGTTCAATGTCGCTTTTCTTTGGATGTACGGAGGGAAGTCTGAATGGCATGAAGTCATTGCTGACTAAAATAAGGCCATCTGGAGGAGCCAGCGGTAAAACTATCCTTGAATGTCGCGCAAGTGAAATAGGAATTACATCTCCTGGCAGGAGCCCATGGAAAACTGCGATAGCGGTACCTATCATTTTGCGGATCTGCAACGGAAACTATCCCATGTTCAAAATTCTAATAGACTGAGCATTTCCATCCAAAATCTGTGGTGAGCATATTCTCAAACATGAAATGAATGAAAAGAAAGAGAGCTAGAGTTCGAACCTGATGAACCATGAAAGAGCTCCCTGTGATGGAGATCCGTATAAATTGAGCTTCCCCAAATGTCTCGGGCATTCCACAATTGAAAGAGATAACTTTTCTGAAATGAGACGACCATACTTTGTCTGATTCGTTTGGAGTGGGAAGCCACCATGCTTTAAGGTCAGTTACATTCCCTCCAGGTAAAGTAAAAGTTGACCTCTCCAGTTCGTTGTCACCCCTTCTGCTATCTTCAGCAAATATACTCACCATTTCATCTACCAACTCGCTTGCTAGCACATCAGGGAGCTCCTCCATGATGTCCTCTTCATCCAAAAAGTCCAACTCGATACTACTGGTAGTCGTTGAGGGCTTGTCAGTTCTCTCATTGCTCGTATCATTGTCATTACGATCGTTTAGGCGAGACTTGTAAGGCTTTTCAGGGAAAGGTCTGTATAGTCTCCGAATCGTGTAATTGTGGTACGCATGCTTACCCTGCATTAATACACGTTTTAACCTCAGCATGACTTAAGTCAAACAGCACGAACTGGTAATCTAAAACTGAACATTTCAGAAAAGAGATGGCAGATTAGGTTTGGCTAAGATAGGACCAGGATAAAAACCTCAAAAAGGTGAAGAAGAGACCGAAACTTTGTCACGCGCTGCTCGACTTGTGAAGGAACAGTGTCTGGATGTATGCCAAGGATGGCGGCAGGTAGGAGGTAGTCGTATGTACGTGTACAACAGTCGTGTCGCGCTCGAAATGACCTGCACAGTAAGTAGAGGTTAAGATATCAGAGGGCTATTGAAACTCCCTATATGTGCAAGCTCTGAAAGAACAAGCTGTAAGAGCAATCATAACGTAACTGCATCAAAGAAAAGATCACTCAGCTAGCACCATGTGTTCAAAGAAACTAGTTTAACATACTCCTAATACCTTGTGACAGGCGTGATACCAAAAACTCGTATAAATGGAGACAGATGAAAATTAATGTTATCGGCAAGGGCAAAACCGTCCATGTCATTCACCCAAGCTGCCTCTGGAACTTCCATCTTCATAGATATTACTGTACATAAAGAATGCACCTGAAACTCCCAGGATCAGTGAGGACGCCACAGAGTAAGATGTTAGAGACACTCACACTAATATTCTTTTCTGAGTGCTCACTGGTTTGTGTAAGTTATTTTGGAGAAAATCGTAGAAGCGCACATCAATGAAAGAAATAGTATCAAATGTATACAGACGAAACTTGACTTCAAAGAGAGGCAATATGTATGGTGAGCCAAATTCCTCAAGGGAATTTGCATAGTAAACAAAGTTGCACTTATCACATCAAAAGAATTGAAGAAGATAGCAGTGTCGAGTGGCAAGGACTAACCCCCTTGTCTGTACGGCTGCTTCGTGTCCATGAAATTTTTGAAAGATTACCGAAATTGCTCTCAATCATGCCTCCAGCTTTGAATATGGCAAGTTCAAGCTCCTCTTCAATGGCTGCATCATCTCATTAAAATATATACAACATCTCAGTTTCCAAGATAAGGTCGATGCATACAGAATGTATCACAGCCACAAAGACAATCCTTTCGGTGTCCGGTACCAATAATTCTGTCTCTCCGTCAACACAAACTTGAAAGAGGAGGCTAACACGTGAGCGTACCACTTACTCTGAGCACTCCCTGGTCCTCGCTGGATCTGTAGGCCTGTCATCGCCAGAACACGTCCAATTAGAACGTCAATAGCTAGGCAAACCTTGGATCCTTGAAAACCACAATCTAAATTTTAATCTAGAATAAGGGATGTAATTCTGAAACCTGTTCCGCAAACCAATTCTTTAATAAAATATGAAAATGGAGTCCCTCGGTCTACAAGAGAGAGTTATTTAGAAGAATGAACTCCAAGTAAGGCTCTAAGTCACCGCTACTTCTAACACATGTAAACAACACAGGAATTAAAAATTGCATTCTCCGAGTACTGTCTTTAACATATGTAACCAACAACAATTGCAATGTGAATAACCTCGAGGAATCTGAAAGTGAGTCAAAGTTCCTCAATAAGAATGAAATGACCGTTCCTCACAAATTTGTGAACCTTCATCGTACCAAGAAACAACAAAATCACGAACAACGGACTTAGACCTAGCACGCACCTTTGTAACGAGTACCGACATATCCCAACCACATGGCTACTTTCTTCTTAATCCTCCTCTCGGAAATGGCCTGAGGTGAGGACTTTCCAAACAAGTCCTCGGCGACTGCGCCGTTGTGAGCGGATGCAGGAGCTCCACATGGAGCCCGCTTAGTGCAACGACCGTGACGGGAAGACGTTAATCGAGCGGCAGAGGTAATGGAAGACACTCCTTGATAGGAGAAGGTGGACGACAATTGGAAAGCATGAAAGCGGTAAGTGGTACCTGAAAGGCAGTTCAGAATATGTGAGGGGGGAAAAACAAAACGAAAAAAGAAGAGGCAGGAATCGAGGAAAGGAGGGACAGCAACGTACCTGGAGAAAAGGGGACCAAGGGGAAGGAAGCCGAGGCCAGGCGAGGCCGGAAGCGGAACATATTGAGAGAGATAAGAAAGGGAACAGGGAATGAGGAAGAGACAGCATTGTTGACTGAAGTGAGCATAAGAACACACTGTCCTTGATCCAAGGGATGTTTTCGGCGGAGTAACTCAGCGCGTTGCAAAGCCAGAGGCTGCACATTGGGGTCCAGTAGCACCGAACCGTGCATCCAAAAAATGGTGCGCCGTCATGGAATACAAGCTGTGGAGTCATTTGTGCAATGAAGAAGAAGAAAGATAAAGAAGCCTCGTCCCCATGATACAGATGGATGAACTAACCGATTCTGTCCGTCACCGCTTCCACGTTCATCCTGCTTCTCAATGCTCCCCAAGTCCTTTCACCTATCAAAATTTGTCACGCTCCCTTTTCAAAGTACTCTAACAGCTCAGAAAATCTGAATTTATATTTTAAAAAATTATTATTTTGTGAAAATTTAAATAATAACAATAATAATAATAATAATAATCTTCTATGGTTTTAAGTGTTTTCATATATCAACAGCCAAATATTTCTTTAAAGTGTTTACTTTAGTTTTAAATTTTTATATGTTTATCTTTTAAATATTATATACTTGTGGTTTAGAACTCAATTTATTTTTTATTTTTTATTCTTATTTTTTAAATGAAATGGGCGCTCTTCAAATAAGTTTATGTAAAAACAAATTTAAGAAGCTTGAGTAGAAAGCCATTATAGGTTTTGGCTGACACGTTTTTAGTTCTGAGAATAACATATATTAAGGCCAAGCAAAATTCATCTGTAAACTTATCTACTTTGCTTCTAAATCTGATTTATCTTCTATCTTGAGGTTTTTTTATATGTTGATATGGTCATTTTAGTGTCAATTTCTTTGATATTATTTATTGTATTAATAATTTTATCCATAATAAATCAAATTGGAACATCAAAAATATATATTATTACTAAATTAATAAATAAGTTTTTTTACTATTTTAAACAAAAACAAAATATTATATTTTCTTATATGTACTACAATACTTTGTGTATGGAATATAATTTACTGCAAACTATTATTGTACCAACATTTTTGGACTACCTACACCTTTGATAATTATTTTCTTGATGCATTATTAAAAAAACTAAAAGTTGTTATTGTATATATACAAAAACAAACAATGGAACTCATGGGTGTAAAATTACATCTTACATCCATATTTGATTAATTAATGTATAAATTTCAATATTTTTTAGAAATGACTTAAATAACTTCTACAATAAAATAACACATTGTTTTTAGAAAATAGATAGAAGATAATTATAAATTACACGTTTACATTTTTATGTTATATATTTGCTTTTTAAATAAATTTAACACCACAAAATTGGTTTTAATATCTACAAATATGTATTAAATTATATATATATAAAAATGTCGATTGAATGACAAAGAACCAAGGTTTTTTTAAATAAAAATAAAAAAATAAATACTAAATTAGTAACCATATTAAATATAATAATAAGAAATTTTGCATTAATTCATATTTTTTTAAAACAAGACAACAAGGTGCCACATGAGTTTGTAGGAGAAGTTCTAAGAAGAATACAATAACTATAAAGCTTATAAAATTGTCATAGAAAACTATGCAAGATCTTAGATAATTAAAAAGATATTAAATCTAACTATCGAGTATGTTTTATGAAAATTTATAATCTATTAGCAAAAAAGTTGGTTTATCATAATCTTCTTAATAGATGTTTTGATTAACCTTTATATAATGCTTTCCCTAATAATTAATCAAAATTTTGGAAACCAACTACATCCTATAGTACATAGTTAATAGCCTCTAATTTCTAATAATCAAAATTTTTTTATTGATTTTTACTAAACAATAGAAGTAAGTAAATTGTGTTTTAATTTCATATCAATGTCTTGTGGTAGTTTTTCCATTTGTATAAATTTAACATTATTGTGGTGCATTTGTAGATCAATACAAAGATTATAGAATTTTCTGCTTGAAATAGGAGAACATTTGTATTCTAAATACTTGCCATTTTTTGGTGTTCTAACATTGTAGGATATCAATAAAATTAAGCAAGTAGTTGGCCTAAAGGCATTCCATTGACATTTGAATAATAAATAAGAGCTTAGTATGTAACAAATGCAGATTATATTTTGAAAATGAAGATTTGAGAATAATTTTCAGAACTTTACATTGTTAGAAACAAACCATTATATAATATAGTAGGTTGTGAAGGTTTTTGATGTCCAATGCATATTACTGCTTTAACAAATGAGAGGTCTTGGAGAATAACAAGTGCATTTTGATGAAATCAATGGATTCTATCATACATACAGGATTATGTAGCAACACAAAATGTATCTATTAAGTTGTCAAAAATTGGTTGCAAGTTACATACTTGCTTCTCCAACATTGAGGATATACTAGCTTTTGACCCATGCTTTACATTCCAACATCCTTTCAAATATCTCCAAGAGAACACAAAACACATGAACCTAAAAATAAAAATATCAGAAAGACTCACTCCTTGAGGGTTACATCCAAGATTCACCAAGTGAAAATGAATTAAATCAGAAGTAAAAGGGTTAAAAGTATAAATGGAATCATATCGAGAACTAGAACAAAGGAGACCTTTGCTAGCAATGGAAGGAATTTAAAGAGACATAATACATCATGCCATTGCAATGGTGAGGAGCCAAGAATGAAGACAAATCATAGAACATATCTAACATGGTGCATTGTGATTTGGAAAGAAAAGGCCAAAACTAGCAAGGTAGAAGCAATCAACCTAGATTGCTGGGTCCCAGGCTAATCTCTACAATGCCTTCTATGCACCACCTTTGATAATTAATAACCTCTCATAATTAATGTTTTTTTCTTACAATGTATAATATTAAATAATTGAAGGAGTGTTGTATATATATATATATATATATGCTTCCTCACGTTTTTATTTTAGTGTCTTGTTCTTTTAAAGAAATAAAAGTCATGTCTTTGAATACATACAAATTCTTAAATTCATCTCAATAATAATTTTAATATATTAAATGTAAATTATTAACTATTTAATTGAATTTATTTACATTCATTGTTCTTTATGTTCATCCATTGAATAGTATTAAACCCACTTCTTTGTTTTATTAGTTTTAACTATTTGATTATTGGGATGTACTAGAAATATTTTGATATTTAATTATGTAATTCATAAAATCATCGAATAACAAAAAGCTGAACTATGATGATTCAAATCCAAATTGATTTTTTATAAATATAAATAAATAAAATTGTGTAAGAATATTATGAGCTTTATGAATGTTATTTATTCAAACTAAATTAGCTTGAGGTTTGTTGTCAGAACATGCTTTTATAGTGTATTTCTGAAGTAAACTCTATAAAAAAACTACAACAATCCATTTGAATAGTAAAAGTATGTATATACATTTTGCATTTTATTTTACTGGTAGTGTTATAACTTACCATATTGATAATGAAGCTATTATACATCAAATATCATTTTTTTCTATTTTTTAAACCACAAAAATAATATAAAAAATTTAAAACAAATAATTGAAGTTCTTGTATAGTTTTAAGACAAACATGTTAAAAAAGTTATTTAAGTATAATAATGATTATTACAATAATGAATTATAGAACAAACAATATAACCAAGAATCACGTGCATGTATTTCAGTCGTACAACGCTAAATCTAAATATGCATATATGCAATACAATCATCTATCAAAGTAATAAAAATGATGACATGATTTTGTAAAAAAATAGATATATGTTGAGAGCGGAATCCTAATTCCGTCTTACTTCTTCTTTAGAAGACTATAACTACCAACCTGATCGGTGCTTACTCTGTGGGATAATAATCGAATTAGGTCAAGAATGCAAACCTAACCCTAAACGAAGCCTAATTACGACATGGGAAGAAAGAAAGAGAAGTTGCAGAGCAAGAAGACGGTGACGTTGGAGGTGCATGAGCGACGCCGACGTTGTGGACTCCGAGGTTGGATGTGAGCTTTGAATGCGTCAAAAGCCGTGGTGGGGGCATCATAGACAGTTGACGATGGTGGGCAGCGAGGCAGCGAGGCAGCGAAGACGGACGGGTGTGGGGAGTGAGGCGTGGGTCGAGGAGAGGTCGGCGAGGAAAGAGGATGCGGGGGTGGCGTTCAGAGAGATCGGTGGAAATTTGACTATGGCGCCTCGCAACCATCTCTCTGCTTGCCCCACTAGACCCTCCAAACTTAGCGCACCCCAATCCCTTTGGTAAATTCAAATATGCTTTCTTCGCTGTAAGCAAGGAAGCGATTGAATGAAAGCGCGGAGCAGAGGCATCTACAGCAGCAGCAGCACCGAGGGGCTCGCATGCACGCCTTCGCACTCCGAGCTGTTGACTGTGGTCAAGCTCGAAGCCACCGCTGCTGTGCTTGCTAACAAAGCTTCGTGGCTTGGTTCAGTGCGTGCCGCGGAAGCAAAAAGCTAAAGATTAAGGCAAATGGGAAAAAGGAAAAAAGGATGGAGATCATAACAGGGACAGGAAGCGAAGGGGGGATGCCACAAAGGCAATGACTGACTGATATAACACCATCACGCTCCCCACGCCGTCCTTCCTTCTAGAATCTACCCCTCTTCCTCCTGGGTTCGAGCATTTGGGGAAAAAAGTCACCTTCCATACCTGGACCCCCCCCCCCCCCGCCCTGGTCACATGAATGAATGAATGGTTGTGTAACCTGAAGATTTTTCTGTGCTTTGAAATTGAGTTCCTAAGCTCCAACTTCCTCGGAGGAAAGAGATTACAATACTTTTCAGGGTGTTGGGTAATTCTCTCACCATTATAATAAATCACCAAGCCCTACCTTTATGAAGTCACAAAGTTTGAGGTTTGAGGTACTGTAGACGTCACAATTCCCTAGGCATTTTAGATGGGAAAACCAGCCAGAAATGGAGACGAATAGTCCAACACATGGAACCAAGCAGGTGGGGAGGGGGGGAAAGTAGCGGGGAAAGCAGTGGGAGGGAAAAAGTTACAAGTGGGGGGGGGGGGGACATAGAAGAGGAATCAGTGATACGGTGAGGTGGAGGATGGGAACAAAACAGAGGAAACGGAACGGGAAAGGAGCAGAGAGAGAGGGGAAGACGACGACCGCCGTGTAGCATCATCGCAAGTGTAGCAGCATCCATCCCGCCTATAACCTTGCATCCTCTGCCTCTTGCCACTCATTTTTTCTCTTACAGCCTCATCACGCATTTGGACAAGGCTGTGCTGCAGGGAGGGGAAGTGCTATGAGATTAAGTTGAGCAGAGAAAGGTTGGGTTTCCACACCGGACACGCACGCACGCACATCAAAAGGTTAGGAAGGAGGATCAGCCCACGCATCAGGACGGACGGACGGACGGAAGGACGGACAAGAGGAGCGAGGCAAGCAGGCAGGTAGGCACTCTGGAGGGAGAGCGCGATTTGCAGCAGGGGGGATACGCAGGAACGGACCGATATCCTAGGGAGATATGAAACCGGAGACCTCAAGCGGAGGTGGTGGAGGTGAAAGGCCTCGCCACTCTTCTCATAATAATTCAACCTACAACAGGGACAAGGTGCGAAGCCACTCCTCGGCGCCATTTTTTGCCTCTTCTGTTTACCGGTCCATGTCGGCGCCAGGCCTCGACACGATGGAACCTGAGCGCGTCGTCGTGAGAGCTTATGGGAACGTCGCTCCGCCGTCGCCGCAGAATCGGAGTCTGTTGCCTGCACACTCGCCGCCGCAGATCGTGCCCACCGCTGGCATTTTGGAGGGGCGGGATGTTAGTGTAAGCGGTCGCAAAAGGCCGGGTAGGAAAACGAGGCGGCCGGATGTCTATGGTGGTCTCTCACCTGAGAATGGTATTACCACTTCCTTCCAAATTGGTAGGTTCTCGTGCACACCGTTTGCCCTCCTTGACTTTGTTGATCGGTTCAAATCTTCGAAATTGAAGGTCTCTTCACTTCATGTTTCGTTGTTAAGCTAGGCCCTGTCTGTTTGGTAGGAAATCGTACGTATCGCTAGGGTTTGCTCTTCACCTTTTGGTAAACTTTGGGCGAAGAAAATGCTACAGGTATTGCTTGCAATTGCATGTGTAAGATGGTGTTTATGAGTGTACAGTTGTGAGAGCATAGCTTCATGTGAACTTTCTATCCCCTCTTCTCCTTTTAGCTCCTCCTCCTCCTCCTCCTCTTCTTCTTCTTCTTCTTCTTCTTCTTCTCTCTCTCTCTCTCTCTCTCTCTCTCTCTCTCCCCCCCCTCTGCCCCCTTCCCCCCTCCCTTTTTTCCTCCCTTGAGGTTTCAGTTCTTACCCCGCTGTTATAATTATTCAAACAATTCATTTATTTATCTTTCTTTGAAATTAAAGAATTCACTGCTGATTGTCTTTACATTGTCTATGTAGGAGACGTGAAGGATGGAACTTGTAAAATCCAAGCGGAGCAGATGGGAAAAGAAGCTCCTCTGCGTGGGACCAACAATTACGCATCCTTGTTGTCTAGCCCCTGTCCTAGTTCCATACCTAACCCTTCTTTTAAGACTAAGCTTTCATTTGATACTCTCGATGCTAAACCAGCTATTGCGTCTGGTCAGCCTTGTACAAGACCCGAGGGAGATTCTGTACAGTCGGTTCTCTCTTCCTCTCTTACTTCGAGAAGTGAGTTTCCCCAGAATTCCACTGTGAAATATGTAGAAGTTTTTTCTCCTCTTTTGGCGTCATCGGCGTCAGTCCCTAGTTCCACGTTTGAAGTAGTTAGCCCAGAAAGTTCGAGCCCCTCAGAAGCTTACCCAAAGGATGATTCTACTGGGAACGATAGCTCGGAAACAGAAGTTTCAACTCCGCCTGCCACCACCTCATCAGATTTGATGACAAGATACGGGAAAACTTATTTGGACTACGATTTCTACACGACAATACAGCATGAGGAAAGAAAGGATTCAAGTGACAGTAGTACTTTGCAAGATGGAAGTCGCTTGTCAAACCCTAACTTGGTGATGTCGTCGAGTTCGTCGGAGTCTACGACTAGGAGTAGCAATGTTATTGTGCAGGAGATGGTGGTGTCCAGTGCCGAGTCTAGAAACAAAGTTGGGAGTCACGCTGTGGGGATTCCAAAGATGAAGGAGAGGCATACGATCGTGAAGTCGTCGAAAGTTAGAAACGATAATGTAGATGCGAGGAGATATGGTGCTCACAGCACCGGTTCGAAGCAACCCGAAAGAGAGAAGGGGATAAGAAGATCGTCTCCGGTTCCACCTTCTAGATCGCCCAGTTTGAAGTCTCCGTTTCAAGATTCACAGTCGCAGTGGAAGGACATCTATTCGGGCGTGAGCAAGGATGCAGTTTGCCAGCAGCCTTTTGCTGGTTCCAGTGATGAAGGACCTCTGCAGTGTTCGCGTTCTTGGCCAGGACCAGGGTCAAGCTTGCTTGGCTCACCATTTGGACCTCCTGGTGGACCAACTGTGGAGTCTGTCTCTGCAACTCAGACTGTGCTTAATAACAGTCGTGGTATTCCGCAGTCGAAGATGTTTTCAGAGCATTGGTCTCCTGAAGAAGTGAATCAGTCGATAGAGGTGAATTGTTATCTCTCTGAAATTTTCTTATGTCTGTTCTATTGAGGTGGTTGCAGCAACTGTGGGGACATGTCGAGAACATTGTCTGATAGTTATTGTGAACTTGGAGAAATATCAATCTTATGTATTAGTTGTGAGAATTAATTTCTTTTGCAGCTGCTTGCTGAGAACGTTGATTCAGCACAGTTGCTGAGTACTGTGTTCCTAATATGTATAAATGTTTTCTTTCTATTGACAGGACGGCCGGATTTTCAAGGCTACTTTTCGAGTGAATTCTCACAATCGTCATGAGGTAGTATTTACGTCTCTTTGTGTGTTTTCTTTCTTTCTTTAAGTTATTAATTTCAATCAACCATCTTTCATCCTTTTAGGGGATGTCTCCAACTGGGCTCGACCACTTACACGATATGGTTTGTTGTCGTTGTATTTATGGTTTATGCGACGTATTTGATTCGATGTTCTTGCTGTCTCAGGCATACGTGACTGTTGATGGATTACCCCTGGATTTACTTATTGATGGATTACAGTCTCAAAATCGGGCGGTATGTCTTGACTCTGATGTACTCTTTGCGTGTGACTTAAAATGTTTATACTAACCTAAAGGTCTTTGTATCGTTATTGCTGGTTTTTTCAGAATCTCTGTTGTAATTGACATTATAGTTCATTATGAACTAAATGTTGTTCTGACACGTTGATTTCAGATGGAGGGAGATGTTGTAGCAGTTATGATTGAACCAACATCAGCTTGGCCTAGACTGAAAGGGTCTTTCAATAAGCAATCCAGTCCTGAGTCCGTCACAATAGGTGACGGAGGCTCTTTTACTAGAGAAGGACTTGGAGATATTGGGGTGGGCGTTTCTTCTTCCAGTTGTTATTCCATACATTCAGAGATCGGTAGAGGTAAAGGTGTGAACCCTGATAATAAGACAGAGGATGCAGGAGATGTATTTCATGAGGAAGAAGGCGTTCTTGAGATAAATTACCTTCAATGGGTTTCGAAGGATAGCAAGGTTACGCTCACGCAGGAAACTGCCTTATCCAACAAGCCGAGAAGTGGCTTGCACAACAATGGTCGTCTGGTTGATCAGAAGAATACTATCTCGCGGAACACCGTATATCAAATTCTGAAGAGGAATCCAACCAAGTGTGCTAGAGAACCTGCTGTGCTGCAGACCTCTACGGAGAAACTTAACTCAATCAAAGGATCGATTACGACAACTCCTAGGAGCGTTGCGGAAAAGCCTGATACCGTATGTGGCGCACCATACCGCGTAGGTTCGAATGACAAAGTTTCGGCAGCCATAAGCAGTCTTCTAGCTCAATTGTCATCATGCCCAGGGAAGAGACCCACTGCTAAAGTCGTGGCCATTGTTCAAAAGTCTCCACGGCGGGAGTCTCTGGTAGGATTCTTGGAGATGCCCCAGCAGCGAGGTGGTAGGGCAGCGGGTAAAGGACTATCTGGTGATTCACCTCAGAAGCGAAGGAATGTGGGGACAATGCTACTTATGCCTGTCGATAGTCGTTGTCCGAAAATGCTTGTCCCTCCTAATGGTCTTCCGGCTAACTTACTCAAGCGTTTGAAGGAAGGTGATTCTACAGTAGCTACTGAACTTGTTGCTGCTCGTGTTGATACATGGTCGGTGGACAGTTACTTGCCTTATGCTACAGTAGTTAGGAGTTTAGGCCAGGGTGGGGAAATCGAACCTCAATTGAAGGCAATCTTGTTCGAGAACAATGCCCATCCTCCAGATTTTCCCCAAGCATCGCTAGATTGCCTTCCCAAAACTCCGTGGAAGATACCAGCGTCAGAAATTAAGAAGAGGGTGGATTTGAGGTCCTATAGGATCTTCTCGATTGATCCCCCAACGGCACGAGATTTGGACGATGCACTCTCATTTGAGAAGCTTCAGAACGGGGAAATAAGGGTTGGTGTACATATTGCTGATGTTTCATATTTCATCACTCCTGGATCTGAGCTAGATAAGGAGGCTGCTCACAGATCTACAAGTATCTACCTCGAACAACGAGTCTTGCCCATGCTTCCTCGGCTTCTGTGCGAAGAGCTTTGTTCTCTCAATCCTGGAGTGGACCGCCTTGCATTCTCTGTTATTTGGACTATGAGTGCATCTGGTGAGATTCTTGAACAATGGGTAGGACGAACTGTGATCAATTCATGTGCTAAACTCACTTATGAGCATGCACAAGATATGATCGAGGGAGTTTTTACGGATATGGAGGGTGCTGAAGCCAGGAATAGCCTGTCTAAATCTGGTAAACCGTTGCCTCAGCTTCATGGTAATCATTCTTGGTCAGAGGTAGTATCGGACGTGCTGTCACTCCATGACATGGCTAAGAAGCGAAGAGAGAGTCGAATTGAAGGAGGTGCTCTGAAGCTTAATAACTCAAAGATCACATTCTCATTAGATGAAGATGGTACACCTTACGATAGTTCCATGTACATGACTAGAGACTCTAACTTCGTCGTAGAGGAGTTCATGCTTTTGGCCAACATGACAGTTGCCAAAATAATTTCAAACGCTTTTCCAGAAAGTGCTTTATTGCGGCGGCATCCCGAACCAAATATGCGAAAATTGAGGGAGTTCGAAGAATTTTGTGAAAAGAACGACTTCGACTTGGATACATCTTCTTCAGGTGCTTTACGCCTGTCGTTGGAGAAGATGCAAGACCGTGTAAGTCATGACCCAGTTCTATACAATATTTTGATGTTGTTCGCGACAAAACCGATGCAGTTGGCAAAGTATTTTTGCACCGGGGAGTTGAAAGATAAGGAAGAAGAATGGGGACACTATGCACTCGCTTGTCCTCTATACACTCATTTCACTTCCCCTATCCGAAGATATCCAGATGTTTTGGTCCATCGCATGTTATCAGCGGCTCTTGAAGCGGAAGAAATTATTGGTATGCCTGAGAGCTCCTTGTCTCACAGTAGAGTTAGCAAGAGCAGTGCAGTAACAGCTCTAGGAAAAAAATTACGAATGAAGCAATACTTCTCCAGTGCCAAATCCGAAAGAGGTGTATCAGACACACCAGTTGCTCAAAATGCATTAACTATTGCTGCCAATAGACACAAATTGCCAGCTTGTTCAGATCTTCTGGGCATCGCTGCCCATTGCAACGAAAGAAAAATGGCCAGTCGAAACGTGAAAGAGGCCAGTGACAAGCTCTACTTGTGGGCCATGCTGAAGAAAAAAGGGGTAAGCACTTGCGCATTCTATAAGATTACTACTGTTGTTTTGGTGTAAGACTGTGGTGCGTGTGTTGACATGCTCAAAGGCTGTGATTTTTGTTAGCATTTTTCAAAGCTTTGGTTGCTTGGGCTGAATTTAGCACTATGCAGTACTAACGATTATGTTGGATATCTTTGACAGGGATTACTATCGGATTCGAGGGTGCTTGCCTTAGGCCCTAAGTTTATGTCATTATATATTTGCAAGATAGCGGTATGGCGCGTTTCATTCTAACCTACACTTTCACTTGCTTCATTTTATTGGTGGTCTTGAGGTTCAAGAGTAGATTATTTTATTATATATAATTATGTTTCATGTGTGGTTTTCTAGGTTGTCCATATTTGGGCTGATTTGGTGCAACGAAGGTTTTGAGTGATGTGTAGATTCATATCCCTAACGAACACAACTCTTGGATCTTTCAGATGGAGCGTCGTATATATTACGAAGAGATCGAGGGTGTTAATGCCGAGTGGTTCGAAGCAACTGGGACACTCGTCCTTGACATCTCCCCAACTAAGAAAACTCCGCGAAAGGGTTCACAGGGCAAGTTCGGTAGGCAGCAAAGAACGGTCGCCGACATAGCTACGGTGGTTAATCCCGCTGATGGTCTGGGTAGTAGCCTTGAACAAGGATCTTACGAACAAATCATTCGGGAGGTTGAACAAACGCTAGCTGGGAAAGATTTTCCATACGAAAGCCCTCCAGCTTTTGATGTGGAGGGGCTTGCTAGTGACGCAGAAGTTGAACCCACAGTTTTACCCCTGACCCTTCGATTGTTCTCTGCAGTTCCTGTCTCTTTGCATTCAATCGGAGGTGGAGCTGACCATCGACCTCTGGACATTGCAGTGAAGCTCTATGTGAGCTCTTATGCCACTTGATATTGACGTGGGTTTCTTCCCATAGTATTCCTTTCGTGGGTGCTTGGTCGCTTTTAGTCATGGATACAGTCGCTCTCTTTACAGCTGCTCAAGTAGACTTTGGTCAATCACTCAACAATTTCTTTGAGATTTATAACTGTATTTTAGTATCCTACATTGAGGTCACGTTGTCATTCCTAAAATTGATAAGTCACAGATTTTCTGCCTATCTAAGTACTGCACGCAGTTCTAGCTGCAACCCCTCTGTAAGTACCTCATGCCTAGAGTCACTAGTCATTGGAATACCTCATAGAACAGAACTCTCTTCCTCCTAGAGGAGCTCTCTTGGATCAGCCACTTCCCAATTTATATTACACGGTTTCACACCGGTTCTAAGGCCAGAATATTGATAATACCTATTATTATCTGGCTTAGAGTTCAACCTTCATAGCTGTTGCATAGATTTGATTTCTGCGATGCCTTCCGTCTGAAGGAGCAGCCTTTTTGGTGCTGCTAGAATTACCTAGACTGTATATACTTCTCGATGTCCCTCGGAAGGATATCTAGATTTTAGAAAGTCTTAGAACTTACGATAGCAAGCTTTAGAAGCAACGGTGAAATCCGGCTTCCTGGCTTGAAACCTGATTTTGGGATTCTTTTGCTCCTCAGCTGAAGTATAGATTTCTGACCGCAAGAATTCCGTGGGGGCAGGTCGTTTGCTGTCACCGAGTTGCATGGATGCTGAATGGCACCTTTTGCTCGATTCACTGTCGGACGTTTTAACATTGTCATGTTCTGTAGTGACTCGCCCGTAAGACTCCCGGGTTCTTGTGAGTTGGCGTTGTCCTGATGCTTTCCCCTACAGATTATATTAGACATGTACGAGGCGCCTGCTTTCTTCTTCCTTCTCCCTCACCCTAAACCCGCCTCTCCCAACCTCTCCTTTGCTGTCATTTTGATTCTCTGGTTCATTCTTTTCAAAATCGTTTCATAGCTCCTCGAGACCTATCTTCGTTCTTTCTTTCTTTCCCCTCTCTCTTCTCTTTTCTCTTTCTTCCTCCGCCTCCTCCATCAGATCAAAAATGGCCCTTCTTTTATTGGGACTTTTTGGAAAAAATATGGAGGACTGTTCAATAGGTACTGGTGATGGTGGAGATCTCAATGGATGAGGACGAACACCAGATTTTCTCTGGAAAGGATGATGGGATGTGCCCTATTAACCACTGCTTGGACCTGACGGGAGAATCTGGACCAGGTTCGTACAACTTTTGTAAGGGACCAGCCGACGGTGACGTATGTCTTGGACATTTTAGTGGGTACTTGGTCATACCAAGCCATATCTCAACTAGGTTTAGGTTGAAGTTTGGCTTTACTTCTAGAAAAACTTTTGGATGAGATTCTTGTTGAGAGCTATAAAGAGGGCTGTAGATAGCAGTCACTTGGTTTAAAAACATATGTGCAGATTTGGACCTTATGGCTTTTTGTGATAAAGCTCTAAAACTGCTTTTTTGTATGAAAAAATCCGAAGAAATATTGCATTTTGAAACACACACTTGCGTTGCTCGTGGTTCTTCTCCTTCCACGCACGTCTTTCTCATTGACAGTTGGATATGAATGTCTAAAGCCCCCACAAAAAATGATCCAAGTTAACTTGAATCTTCATAATCTACCTACCAGTAGGGAATTTGATTTCGCATTCCATGCCTAGAATAACTTCCTGAGTCTCTAGGTTGAAATGTTTTGGTTGCACTGTGTAGTATGTTTTTTTGGTTACAAAACCAATATAAGGAGTGCAACTGGTGATAAATGGTCAATAGCTAACTGGTTAATCTAGATAACATGATTTATATCATAATTTTTTGAATAAGATTGAAAATGGTTTTAGTTTCACAACTTAAATAAACTATTAAATTATTTGAAATAAACTGTAAAATTTGTGTAGTTTTTTTTAGCTTGAAGATTTAATTTGATTTTGAATTTGCAATTGTGACATTAGTTTATTTTGTCTATTGACAAGTTATTAGAAGATGTTAAAAGAAGAGAATTATTTTACATAAGAAAAAATCAAGATCTTATTAAAAATAATGTTGTGTAGTCCCTCAATCCTTGATTACTTGATTGATTAATTTCTGAGTTGTAAATAATGACTCAAATTATCTGTTCATATCTGGTTTGTGATTTTTTGTTATTTAATTATTTCTTAGAAGTTTTATGGCACTTCTTTAATTTCTACATTTATTTTCCTATCATGCAATGGGATTAATTATATAAGTTATTTTGATTGTTATATATATATATATTCTTTAGAATCATGCAATGAGATTATTTTTAAAAATAATCATTATTCTTTAGAGTATTGGTTGATTTATAAAGCTTATGTAGATAAATATATGAATGTGTATGTATGTTATAAGAATTTGTTTTTACATAAACTTGCTGAGTTGTTTAACTTGCTTAATGGTTATGTGTAAATCTAATATTTTATCCTCTAAATTCTTAGTTGACCATTTTGTTTGCAATTTCATTTTGAGAACTTATCCTCTTCTTAAGTATTAATTTTTGGTTAAATTGAAAATAACACTTTATATAATACCTACATTATAATGAAGTTTTTATACATGTGCAATGTGAGTAGACAAATAAAACTTCTTTCAATTAAAAATAGAATAACAAAAAACATATTGATGGCAATCAACAAAATTGTTTATATTTATTATAAATAAAAAAGAAGATATTATCTAAAATTCGTAATAAATAAAGATTGACTCAATTAAAAAAGCATAATACTTCTTTCAAGAATATCTACTTGAAATTGAGGATTTATTTGTTGTCTTATTGATTACTTATTTTTTATTATATATATTGATGTAAGGTCTAATTCACTCATTATATTTTACTATAATTATTTTAGAAATGCAAAGAGTTTTTATTTATTTATTTTCTTTTTTAATTCCAAAAAGATAGATCAATTATTTTAAAAAAAATAAAAACAACTATCATTATAATTTTTTTATATATAAAAGTATACAAGTGCAATAAATGTTTAATAATATTTAGTCACTAGTACTAATTTATATACAAATGCATGATAGACCATTTGTGTAGTTATGTCTATGAATACTAAGAATTATTTATTTTATCATCAATTCAAAAAAATCATAACAAAAATATTAATATAAATACCTATAGATCTTTAAGAAATTAAATGAAAAAGGTCCAAAGAAGTCACATTTTTTTTTATACATGTGCAATGTGAGTAGACAAATTCTTCTATTAATTCTAAAATTTGTATTTTCTAAAATATTCTTAGCATAAAATTGGTTATTTTGTTCAAATAAGAATAGATAGTCAATTTAAGATAATAATTTTATTTAAAGATACCATATAACACTTCAAAAATAATTGAATAAATCTAGTGCAAAGATGATTAAAAGTTAGTAAAAAATTATCTATATTAAATTATATTAAGACAATAAAATTGCCATAATAATTATACAAAACAAATTACATGTTATAATACAACCAAAAATTTTGGAAAAAGTAAAATAGAATAAAGGTTCTTTTAATTAAATTACTAATAAAATTTTCACAAAATCTATTGCATAAATTTTCATTAGTTTATTCTAATTTTTTCTATGAAATATAAAAGGGCCTTTAAATCTAAAAATAGTTTTATTTTTTTTGAAGGGATTTAGAAGTCTTTGCTTGTAATGAGTTTTGCATATAATAATCTTGATTCTTGTAGAATTTAAAGAAAAAAAAATTAAGATTTTTTAAAAACTATTAATATTTCTTTAAAAAATGTATAAGATTATAAAAAAACCTACAAATTTATATGTATATATCATGATTTTTTTTTTTTTTTTTTTTTTTTTTTTTTTTTTTTGATCTAATAACAATTTTTAATGGAACTAATGATGTCAAAATTTAGTGTCTTTTTAAAATAACAATCAACCATTTTGTTATAAAATAGTATTCAAAATTAAAATTTAATGATTACCATTATACTTAATCTTGATTAAATATTTTTTAAACCTCTTTTATTATTATCTTTAAGTAATCTAAAGATGAAAATATTTTGAATGCAAAATCAACAAGGCATCCAAAGTTAAAGATAAGAATTTTAAATAAAACATATGTCAAGGTCTTTTTAGAGAATATATTTAAAAATTACGTATATATATATATATATATATATATATTTCTTTTTAATATTAATTTCAAATTGCAAACATTCATATATATTTTCTTTAGAAATTGAATACATAATAGCTCTTAAGAACACCTTTTTAGAAGTTGGTCTTTTTGTTTAATCATAATTGAGGTCAAAGAACCTATCATTGAAAGAAAACATAAAAATGAAAAATCATTACATTCAATTAAAAAATATGTAAATAAAAAGGTGTTGATTTTTGAAAAAGTCCAAAGATGTAGTGACTAATTACTTATAAAGCTGTCTAATTAGACAATATTTGAATTGATGATTTACAATGAAACAAAATGAAAGCTACATGTTTTGACAAATTAAATTAATTTTGTGCTAGACTTCCAATTTGGTAATACATTTTGATCAATTAAAAGTTATTTGTAGTTGATGTTTCAAGCAAATTTTTGTACAAGAATGTTTATTGAGTGCTTTTTTTTTTTTTTTTTTTTTTTTTTTTTTTCTAAAGCAGATAATTTCTCAAAAATTCAAAATGAATAAAATCATATTCCATTCATCATGTATCAATAACATACTCTGAAATGAACATTCATTGGGAAATTTTGGCAGGTTTTACATACCTTAATTAAATATCCACAAAGAACCACGTATTCATACACAACCCACAGAGAAGAGAAAGAAATAGAGGTTTAGAGAATTAGATGAAAGCAATTGTCTTGGTATCCTGCAACAATTCTATAAGCATGCTTTCCAATGTGAGAATGGACATGACAAGAGAGGAGCTCAATCAAGTGAACCGAAACAATTGGCTTCGAATTGCGTATAAAAAAATACAGATTGTTCAGATCAAACCAATTCACGTCAGGGAACCGATCACACACGTGGCTTTTTATTTATTTATAGACAAACTCTGCATAATGTGTAAGAAAACCGCCCCTCCAACACTACAGTTAAGGGCAATAAACAATTGTCCTACCCTCCTAGAAACAGAAAAAAAGCCGACTGATAGAGCAACCAATACAGGCTAAAGGGCATCAGTCGCCCAAACAGAGAATTAAGAACCAATTGTGCTCGACATATACATTGCACTACGCCGTCAGATCATCAGGAAGAGTTTCTATATTGGTTCCCATGATTTTCCCACCAACATCAGGGAAAGTATTAAAGCCCGGTAAATTTGTAATAACGCCATTGTCTTCGATCTTCAAAGGATAACGGATGAGATGGCCTCTCAAATCCGTCACTTCCGGAGCGATATACTGCTGCCAGTTTCTTTCCGCCATGTCGTTCACACGTTGAACACACTCCAGGCTCTCCGGCTCGTCGAAAATGGCTTCCAAAGGTCCCAGATGCTCCGCCCACAATGCCATCCGATACCCATAAACCTGTTTCGGATATTAACAGCTATATTAAGGTAGTTTCATTTATGTGACAGCAGAATTATTTAGTCACTTGATCCAGTATTGCACCTTTTTTTTGCTTTTGTTTATTTTACGTAAAGATCTGGTTTTGATGTATGTTTTAATTCCTATTTATGCTGCAGTCTGATTTTCTTGAAAGATGTCAGGGTTCCAGTTTCATTACCATGGTCGTATACCGAGCTCTGAATCAGGAACTATGCACACAGAAAAGTAAGGAATGATACATACCTGACCGCGTGGACGGGAATTCCGAGCTGCCCAGGTCTGGTGTGGTTGATAACCACCCATGGCAATTTCCGTGTCTCTAGAGCCATCCATAGATCGTTGGTTTATGTTGGCTGAACCCGAGATAACATATTCATCGTCCACAATCATACCTTTAGAGTGGACGTATATCATCATCCGTCTGTTTCTCTGCGACTTTCCCTGAATTGTTGTAGAACACGAAGAGAATTATTAATAGATTCCCAATACCTACATTAGTTGCAACTATCTAATGAGGAGCATTTTTTTCTCACAAAGAACAGCTGTTTAGCTCTCATCTCAACGGTCTAATATGTATGAAGATGGTTACCAGATTATTTGAAATTTTGAAGCTTCTGAAACCAAACCGAATCGAAGTGTTATCCTGATAATACCTGCTTTGAGTTGCGATCAGGTGGATTGCGAGGTTCAGGCTCCCCATGCTTTTTGGTCTCTCTATTCCCAAGACAATAGAAATTGAGGTAGTCTGTAGGCTTCCTATAGGAAAGCCCACAATCCCTCAGTGCACCAGCAATCATACTGTACATCATCTTCATGGTTTGCGTCTGCTCCACCACATCCATTGTCGCAATTAAGAATGTTGTTCAAAGTCATGGAAGAAAGCAAGAGGATGTGCAAATAACTCACTGCGACATGAATACTAGACTTGAATTTCAATGCATCTTGAAACAAAGGTACGAAGGAAAGTGTTATATTTACTCCTCAAAGTGAAGGGTTAGTCATGGGAAACGAGATACCCACCTGAAAGTACAAAATTTCTTGGACAGGGCTGCTGTCTGGCACACCTTCAGGCCACATAGGAATCACGATGTACACTGAAAATCGCTTGCCCTCTCTTATCTTGCTACAGATCTTCAATGCAATTTCCATTGGAATAAGATGATTAGCACCTGTTCAGCAAAATTAACAGCCAGACTACTTTAACACGACTGGAATGAGATCATGTGTGCACACACACAGTCAATAACATCAAAGTTGGTTATTACAGATCATTTATGACTACACGAAAGTTAACAGCTCCTATGGGGCAATGAATCTAAAATCACCAAAAAAGAGCTCAAAAGAAGAATTACCAGCTGTCTTGTAATCCGGCCAGTTGTACGAAGATCCAAGAAAATATTGGTTTTCAATATAAAGAAAATGCTGAGCGGAACGGATTGCTTTGATATAAGCCATTTGTATGCTGATGTCTATGGCTACACTCTTACCCCACACGAGACACTACAACTCCAATGCCCACAAAGTACTTGGTCAAATTGCATGAAACATGCACATCTTATTGCAGTGTGAACGTTAAATAAAATAACTTCATACTAATGATATTCAAACAAGTAAGTCAAGACCTACATCCAACTCACAACACGATTAGTATGGGGTGTATGATGCACATACAAAAAAAATGTATGAAAGATATATTCACCTGTTTCGTAACTTCCTCAGCCGTAACTGGAAATCCCTTCACGGAACCACTATCAATAGACCTGAATATCTGCAGGAAAAAAATGCCATTCAAACACCATGTGACTCAGTGACAAGATAGAACAATATTGGTGAACAAATCAATAGCTCTGCGTCGCTGTTCAGTCTCAATATCTTAACATAGAACTTTTACAATACCTTATTCCATGTAACATTTAGGCTACACAAGTGCTGTACTAGTGATCACAGTGTAGTAAAAAGAACACTAAAGGAATAACATAGTGTTACTCAAAATGACAATAAATCAATACGACAGAATGCGACTGACCATCTAGCAATAACTGCTCTCCTACAACAAGTAAGAAGCAGCAAAAGTTTGAGTTGTTCACGCATGTCAGAATATAGTTTTTGAGACCCACCTGTACTTGCCAAGTATCTGCATCATGGTCATTTGTGACAGCCAGAGTAGGATCTCCACTAAGTGGAGCTCTATTTGAAGGATCCAACAGGCGTTCAAGCTTATTAATATCAAGCAGCTCATCATCGTGCTTTCTAGTAGCTTTGTTCCAACGCTGTTCAAAGTTTTTGAGAACATCATACGCTGCATGACCTTCAATTTTACAGTGCCAGTCATGCCATGGTTGTCTTGGGCCGCCACTATCAGGGGCATACTGTTTCAACAAGATGAGATGTGAAAAAGTAAACCAGTATTCTAGTATAATGCAAAAATAACCTATTGCAAAAAGTAATCATGTTCATTGAACAAACACATGTCCATGACTATTTTCACTAGCAACGATGTCAAATTCAAGCACCACTGACAAAAAAGTACTTTTTAAAAACCCTTCAGATACAAAGATGGAGAACACTAACCGGCCATGACTTGTTTCGAAAATCGTGCTTATGTTCACGCTCCAATGAGGAAAATAATGTATGAGAAGGCGTGTCCCACCTACCACCGGTGAGATCTAGACCACCAATGAAACTGGTAATCGTTCTCCGATCATGTGGTCCAGTATCAACAATTGTCATCTTCTGGTGATGCGAATACAGTGTACCAACTACCTGTAGTCATGTACATCGAAATGTTGTAACGTTCCGAATCAAGCTCATACACTCTCAGGTGTATCGTACAGGTGTGCCGTACATATTTCCGTATATATATGATCTTATGTGTTTCGTTTTCTTAACTACTAAATACAGTGATTCAAATAATAAGATGTTCGAAAACACGACATGGTAAAACGCATGCATACTGAAGCTTGCCTTAACAGTCTTCACAGATATTTTAGATGACGAATCTCTCGATTCATGACATTATAGTTGAAGAAGCGCACAAGCAATGAAGTTACCTGTTGCCTGAACCAACTCATCTTTGAGGCACCATATCGTGGGGCCAAAACACAACGAACACCAGTACCCTTGAAATAATTCTTAGTTTCTTCATCATGCGTGTTCATTACACCATCCTGTCAACAGCAGAAAAGATTGTGAGTAGATACGTTTCCAAATACTTTCCATTCCCTCTAGGTATGAGAAAAAAGCTAAACACAAGAATCTAATGAATTTTTTCTTTTGCAACCGCTCCTCCTCCGAAGATAATCATAAGAGGCTTCAAATAGTAATTGAAATAATTGGTACACTTCTGCGCCATAAAAACGACTAGCTCCAAACTCCTTAACGCATACCAAACTTACCGTCTTGATAAACGTAAGGTCATGTGATGTTTTGTCATCCCAGACCAGCAGCAGTACACGGACTCCCTGTTTGGCCTTCAACTTCAGTAATTCACCAAGTGTCAAGTTTCCACCTGCCGGGACTGGTCGATTGTAGTCACGTATCAACTTTACCTTATAGTACACAGACCACCCCGCTATATAAATCAAATATTTAGCCTCATGAATTGCTACACACAGATCTTCCCAGCATCGCCTGGGCTCATACACCTTGCCACCATCAAGACGGATGTTTGGAAGGGTTCCATCATAGATATGTGTGTCCTGGTAAAGGGTGAGCCGACATCCTCTTCTTGAAGGAAAGTATGTGTGTGGTACTGCATGTGAATCAAATCCTGTCACTCCTTGCTTGTAGATCAGATCCTGTTCAACTGGTACGTAACTTGCACTGAATTTTAGCTGAGCACCATTCCTAGAGGGTCTCCCCTGTGAATTCAACACATCAAACCAGCCGCTGACGATCGATCCATGTAAAACCTGCTCAACAGGTATTTTGACATCTCCAATTTTTTGAGTACCCAACATATCCTGATCTTTGACTCTAAATACTATGTGATCTACGTAATGGGCAACTGGTATTGAGAAGCTCTCATGCCACTTAGGATTGACATCGTTACTGATAACACGTGTACGGGCAACCCTGGCACCTGCAAGGACGACTGTCACGTAAGGGTCACTAGTAATGTGCGGGACGTTGGGTGCAGAGGGTTCATCCTTGTGTTTAGATTTCTGAAATATGGATAGACCGGAAGTGAAATCTGAGAGCTTTTGAGAGAAACCGTCCAAGTTGGGTAGTTGCACAGCCTCAAAAATTTTAACCTCCAGAGTTCCATGGAGCAAAGTCAGTGAATGCTTCTGGCGGAATGATGACGATGATACAGGGACCAAGTCTGTCAAGTCATTTCTTGGACCAAGAGAAGCAGCAGCACTGGCAACATACTGATCTCCTGCACATATTACAAATAAAAATACAATTACAACAGATTTTAGCTATGTAATTATAGTGCTGAGAATTCATTCGTCGTTCTTCTACACGCTTCAGCAATCTAGAAGGAAAGAGCATTAATAAAAAGCTATTATTACAGAACTTAACAAAGAGAGCATCACACGCTTTTCGTTGAATTATAAAAATCCATTAAGATCAAAATAAGTCAAAAAAAAAAAAAAAAAAAAAAGAAAGAAAAAAACTCAACCATTGACATAAGCACTCATGTTGACATGCAAGAAACAGTAGACTTTTATTGAAGTTTCTTACATGTCAACATGTTGACATAAGTAATCTCTGTTCCGTTGGGCCTAAGTTTGGATAGTAAACATCAGACAGAGACAAAAAAAAGTTACCTGGGTTACCACCGTAAATAGGACCGGAATAGTTTATTGAGGGTTGCGGGTGCAAATATATTGAATTACTTCGAGCATAAGGTGGAGGGCCACCCATAGATCCTAAATCTGAGGATTGCGGGCTTAGGTGCCCTGATTGACTCCGACCATAAATCGGAGGTCCACCAACAGCTCCTGAATGCGTAGGACCATGAGGACTACCTGTGATCAGAAGAAAAAATTAGTATGCAACTAATCAAATGCTACGTTTCACCAACAGAAGCATATCATAACACGATGCCATGGCACAGTGAAGAATAACAGTTCCTGAAAAAAAACGAGATGTCTCTCTCGGTTGAACACAATCTCATGCCTAAGCTTGCAATATCAACTTTGAAACGATTTTTAGATAAGCTCACAAGCAGAGGTAACGATCTAGACTAAGCCATGGTGATCATTACCTATGCTGTTAACTCGAGGCCAGCCATTATCAGCCAAGCTAAGCCTGCCCAAGTTGAGGCTGTCATGATGGGTCTCAAGAACACGAGGTGGGACATTGGAAGGTGAATACGGTCCAGCCTGATCATAAGAACCGTAAACTGGTGGATACGTTGGTCGACTTATGTACCCGGAACTGGATGGAAAATTGTATGAAGCAGTTGGATCTGCAACTTGATTGTAAGGTGTAGCGCCGGCAGCTGCATTCGCTCCTTGCAAAGCCTGTGGTGCAAATGGAGGATATACAGACGTATATGGTGAATGGGAAGGAGGGGCTGGATAGCCTGATTGAGCTGTCGAATGAATATTAGGGTACAAGGAAGTCCCCTCGGCGGGCGGACAAGCAGGATACGAAGGATATGTAGGAGGGGCACTCGGTGCAGAAGCAGCATATACAGAGGGAGCACTTGGGGTAGAATAGAAGGGAGAATCAGGCACCGTGTAAGGTGAATACTCTACTTTGGACGGCGTCGAGGCATTGGACGACGTTGAAATATTCGACCATCTGCCCAAACCCCAAAGCCCTCCATCTTGATTCGTCATTCAAAGAGAAAACTTCAGGCACTTCGTTAGCTGGATCTTAGATATCCTAAAGGTCTTGCTCTGCATCGTTGAATCTCAATTCACTGATATGAGGCAGAAAGTTTTGACGTAGTCATAATAAAATCACTCAATAGATAGTCCTACAATGAAGGAATTTGTGGGCATCAGAATTTAAAGTGCTTCAACAACACCCCTCCCTAGGTCCATTCCTATTCCATTGATTACTACTCCAGATCCTGATAAAGACAAATCATTACCAAACAAGTTCGTCAAGGTATGTACACTACTCAACAGCCCTAGTTAATAACATTACAGAATCAAAAAAATAAACAAATAAATAAATTTAGTGCAAGTGAACGCCAGGATAATACGAATTGCTTGTTTCAGAGCAAAAAGGTAGACCTAATTAGTTTGTAGCTGAGGAATGGTCTAACTAGGACCACTAGGACTCTGATGAGGACCGCCCTTCGAATTGCTTGAAGCAGACATTGAACAAAACTTGGCCAGATTCAAAGTCGGAATGCCAAACCGGCAATTTAGACTGTCTAAGATGCATAATATCTACCAGTGCAAACCCTAGGTCCAAATTGACGATCTGAACGGCTTTGAGAAAGCAATCCCTGAACGTAAACAAGTGCCGTTTCATAGACTCAAGCCATTAACATTTGGAAACGAGCAGAACCAAGTATGTGTGTATATGAATATATATATATATATATATATATATATATATATGCAAAAACGCGTGGACGCGCCACACGGAGTTTCGTGAAGGATAAGCAATCCCGGGTTCTGTGTACAGAGGATGGAACTACTCACCGACAGCCAGCATAGAAGGCAAATTTTTTGCAAAGTTGTAGGGAAGGTTAACATAAGACAGAAGATAAATATCGACGCGATGTAGTTGATGCAGAAGCTCAGGCCAGACATCTCACGCAGAAAACCGAACAGGCTTCTACAACATGCACACTACGTAAACAACACACGTGTTGAGAGAAATGGTGACACACCTAAGGCGGTCGCAATTACAAGAAAATTGAAGTCGGAAACGATCCCCCACTTGGTCTGCAATAAACTTTACTTGGTTTCGAACCTTGATTGCGAGCCTTCATTACACTCGTCCCAAGACAACACAATAATAGTACCTGGCAGGGAATGCTTTTCGCCCAGGGCTCGCCCACGTAGCGCGCTGAACTTTACACTAAGAAAGGAAGTGAGGGCGCGATCGCAAACCCCAAGAAACAAAACAAACCCGAGCGACATCCAAAAACAGCAACACCGTGGACGTTCGAACCAGAATCTGAGTTGCAAGCAACCGCGTGCACAAAAGAACAGATTCGAGCTTTGGAATTTATCTTAAGTTCTCTCCGATCCTACTCCCGAATCGCAGCCAACCTTGACTGCTAGGTCAAATCTAGAGCCACCTTTTCTTCACCACTCAAGTCGTGGAAAAACAACACCATCACATCACAGGTACCTATTCCACCACCACCAGAGTCCGGAACGACCATCGTTCATATGAGAAACTCATAAATTAACCCCGAAAAGCAAGGAAAATCCCCAACTCGATTTCCATTCCCAACAGCTCACCATGAAAAGCAACAACCCAACAGTCGCAAGCATCAGCTCTCGCGGTCGGGCTACCATAGGGATACTACTTCGCCTCCAACCCCAGTAACTCCGCAACGAAATTCCCGATGCTTCCCCACTCGTGCCAGTAAAGCCGGTCGAACCTATACAACTCCTTATCCGAGACTACACCGTGAACAGTAACCCTCCTACAGAGTTCGCCGAGGAATAATGATCTGAGCAATAACAAGGACGCTGTACGTTGAGACGACGTCACAGGGAAGGGATGCAAAATATAAAGCAAGCACTCTCATAATCCCTTTGCGAATTCATTCCATTTATTATTCCACTGCATGTAGAATCAATCAATCTCTCTATCTATCTACCATTCAATTCATTCAATTCTTCACGTGGTGACGATTGCGTTGCGACCGCAACAACAGCTCCGCTCCTCGCGCCTGAAGCTCAAAACCCACCTGCTGCTGCTGCTGCTTGCGCTATAGCTTCACTTCGCCATAGCTACTTCGGATTCTCAGTGTTACAAAAGTTTTTTAGAATTGGACCTTCAGCTTACAAAACAAAACAGTTCATGTACTCAGTGGGTTTGTTTTTGCATATAATCAGGCCATAATCGATCAACTTTTAGATGGTCCTTTTTTGGTTTTTTCAGTTCTTTTGGGTAATTGATCACCATAGGCATTTCCCTTGTCCAAATTGTGATTTTTATAAGCCTCACAAGTATAATATTTTGCACAAAAAAGTGTTCATGCGATTATTTTTTATTTTATTTTATTTTTCCTTCTTCATAAATGTTTGAAACAGAATCCAGACTTTTTTTTTTCACACCAAATTCTGTAAATTATGAATTTGTAATTCCAAAAATGGTAAAAATTATACTGCTGGTTTTAATTATGAACATTATGATTTAATATGTTAATATGAATTTTTTAAAAATATATATATATATATATATATATGTAAATCTTATTAATTATTTATCTTTAAAAGTAATGCATAGAAGTTAAGACTCATTCTAAATATATAACTATTTAAAATATAATATATATTCATTAATTTTCAATACTTATTAATGCATATTTTTTCAGAGAATGTGCACAATGACAAAAAAGAATTTAGAATGATTGTACTATGATTTAAATTGGAATGCACCATGAGGTGGTATTTGTCTTCTTGTTGTTAAAGTTGGTTATCCTTATAAATTGTTCAAGATTGGAAGTTATAATAAATAAGAAACATATTCATGTTGCTATGGGACCATGATGGGCTTTGAAGTAGTAACTTAATTTTTTGAACATTCTTATTATTTTAATAAAGACTTGAATTGAAATAAAGTGATAATTGTCTAATTTTTGTTGTGTTTAGATGTATATAGTTGTATTAGTACTATAATCTTCATTATATATTAAATGAACAAATAAGATTAGGGACCTCAATAAAGAAATGATTATTTTTTTTATTTTTTAAATTGGTCTTTTTTATGCTGTGATAAAGTTAAGAACCAACAATTAGTTAGCAATTATTTCTTCATTATAAATTTGGGGCCATATTGAAGTAAAATTTGTCTTTAGTTCAATTGTTTAAACAATTGTTAGATCAATTGTTCCAATTGTCACAACATTCATAATCACATAGACACTCTTTGAATTAAAACAAAATCTTCCTAAACATTAAATATAAACATATCACAATCATTTTTTAATTTAAAAATCTTTACATGAATGCTGACGATTTTACTAAACTACAAAAATTTGATAATGTTTGTCCTCATAGTTAAAATCTCACTTTTTAAAGGTTGTTTTAAAAGTGCAATCAAAGATCAATTCATTAGTCAAATAGGTCTACCCATTTGCTGAATAGGGGTTAGAAGGGGACATGAATCCTAAATAAGTCGTGAAACACGTTGCTAAGGTAATGCATAACTATTTTTGACATCTATTTTGAACATCTATGTTTGGTAACACAAATCAGATGAGTTGTTTTGGATTTGCATCTTCTCAACAAACCTCAATAGGTACAATCTAAGACTTCATATCCTAATCATCTCCAAGTCCAAGTCAGTAATCTCAGTTCCTTCAAACCCTGTTTAAGAAAATAGTGAATAGTTCGAAAACCTATGCTCTGAACAATCTTCGTATGCACAGTTACAACAAAGCCCATATCTTCTTTTTTTCCTTCTCAGCTCTTCTTTGCTGTAACTTATAAAGGTTTCACACAGAATAATAATCAAATGAAAGTTACAGCAAAGCTGCTGGGAGGTTCACTGTTCCATGCTTGAACACTACATTCCCCTAGCATTTGTATTCATCACAACCAGTATCCAGACCGTGGCTGATCTTGCATATGCAATTTTGAATTTGTGGAGATTCTCTCCTCTTGAAAATAAAAGCCTTGGTAAAGTAAATAGGATAGCTCTGCCGCTACACACTCCGAATTTCAGTCAATATGCTGCACACCCTGTGCGAAGTGCATACGGACCATATTTCTTCACGGTGCTACTGCAGCCTAGCTGGTTCGGAAAAGCCCATCCTGTTGAAAAAGTTGGAAGGTAAAATCGGTCATTTTCAGTCGAACTTGAGTAGCAGTCAATACTTTTCAGCCTATGCTTGGCTTTGCCAGATGCTCAGAGGATCCCACAAACTCAGAAGCATCTCCCTCCCAGACATCGTCCAGACCACGAAGAGTAACATGGATGTTGCTCTCTTCATCATCCGGGAGAAGAGTGTGAGCAGGGTCCATCGAAGACTTGACTCCAACGACACCACGATCATCCATCTCAGGGATGACAGGAATTGCTTCGAGCAGTTCAACGCCCCTTTCGCGATGGCCACAGTATTCACCCAAGTCCATGATCACCGCAGTTTTTCTCTGCAGAAAGAAAGCAGTAGATGCCAAGAGGATGACGAGGCCCCAGCATGCAACTTCATAGCACCAGAACAACGCAATAGAGCACGAGGTACCCAGGCTCAAAACGAAGCAGCCCAAGAATATGGAAAGGAGCACAAATGCTATCATAAAGGAAACGTTGAGCGTTGCAAGACACCGCACACCACCTGCGCCAGCCAAACACATCATGTGCAATAGTTGTAGGAGTTGGGAAGATTCGAACGATTCTCTGCGAGACTGTAATAGTTCTAGACTTGGAAGCACGCTGGAGGATTCCAGATGCATCTGCTACGACGTTTGGCGCATTGCCTAAGTTAGCGAGGCCGCATACCTCGGTTTGATGCGCAGCAGTCGTTCTCCACAACCTTCAGACAGCTATGCCTTTCGGGAGCTATGTAGGCCACTGAAATCCCTGTGCAAAATCACATGTGGGTGTGAGTGTGCTTCTAGGAATATGCCGCTGCTCTTGGCTGCATTTCAGGTGCATGCACGCTTGCATCTTTTGCACTTTTCTGAACGATCGTGAATACTTGATTGTGAGAGCAGCAAAAAAAATAAAAATAAAGAGAAAAGAGAAAAAAGAAAGTTTCGTTATAAAATTTTCAGCAAATTCTTCTCATGATAGGTTCTAAACCTCCTAAGCCCTAATAACATATAACTCGCTGAAAACAATAGTGCAAGAAGACATGGACTCTAATTCTCGAATCAAAATACATACGTGCATTCTTAGAATGCGTGTGAATCATTCGTGTCGAAGACAGGCTAGCGTGTAAGGTAGCAAATTCTCTTACTAGGACTCCAAATTAACTTCAATTCGTGGGAACCCTGAGATTGTAGCTGAAGGCCGAACTAATAAAACAATTGTGACATTAAGTTGACAGTTAGGGCAATCCAGATTCCAGAATCCAAACCCAACCTACTCAGATAGTTGCCAACAAGCCTAAATCACTCTCTTGCTTCAAATTGCTCTCGTTTCAGAGTCAGGAGCACCGACCTGCAAATAGGTAGATGGAGGAGCAGACAAAGACAACGGATGACGGAAGAAACACAACCAGCCAGAAAATGTCGACTGCCTCCTCCTCCGTGTACACATGCGATGGAACATCTCCACGCCCCGAGCCACCACGCGCCACAGCCATGTTGAACTTTGCCAGACGCCTCTGCTGACAGAAAGGAAAATCGTCGCCACTAACTGCAAACACTACGTCCACCATGATCATCATCGAAACCACCACCGCTGCCCACACAACTATCACTCCCGCCATTGCCAAGGGCTTATGCAGCTTGGTGCACACTTTTTCCTCTTCTCGCAGCACCTCGTAGTCTTCTTGCGACATGAAGGCCTGCCATAACGCATCGCCTGCGACATTCTTCATCTCCACGATCCAATTCTCTCAAAATCCACGTACCGCCTACGCAAATAAAGTCGCCATCAAGCGATCCACTCTCTCAGAGTCTTACTCTGACTCAGGTGGCACCAAATCTCGAACCGCACCACATCCACCCTCACTCCACCCAAAACAACCTACAACGAGCTGCGAATTCTAAAACTCCCCACAACCCAAGTAAGGGATCCATCCCTAAACCCCAGAAACCTGAAGCTGCAATGCTAGTGGAATCGAGGTGAATGCAAACGGAAAAAGGCAGAAAAGAAGTGGAATGCCAACAATCTGGCAGAATACGGCAACAGTATGGTAGTGGAAAAGACCAGGCGACGGTCCTGTGCACCGGGAGCATCAGACCCGAGTATCAATCTGGACACATACCATCGCATCGCATCGCATCGCACGCAATCTCACACAGGAGCGCACAAAATGCGCGACAAACAGTGAAAGAGGGACATGCAGAAACGCCGGCACCACTCCTGGCACAGTTCCATGCCTCCTATGCTTTTCTTTGCTTTTTGTTGAGAATGTTTTAGAGGAAGAGAGAAAAGAGTAGCTAGAAGTAATATGGACACATATTACTAATAAAACACAATAAGTAAGTTTATTAATAGGGTTATATCTCTTATACAAAGAAAAGAAGAGAAAATAAACAGTTTCTCTCCATCCAAACATTGTAGCTATAGTAAATATTGTAAACTACAATAAATAGTATGGAGAGCACAGGCTACATTTAATGCTCTCAACACTCCTTCTTACTCATTATAATATTTATATGCATAGAATTATGATCTATACTTTTTTGTAATCTCGTAAGATCAACAATTGCTGCCTCATTAAAACCTTATATAGGAAAACCTTATTATATTTAAAGACAAAACCATAGATGAAGGAAAAAGAGTAGAACATTATCTCAAGAGTTCATTAACTTTCTTATTGAAGAAAAACAAGTTGCCGCATGCCAATGCCATAAGTAAGTCGGCAATGGTTATACAAAGGAAGAGCTTTGGTGAGGAGATCAGCAAGGTTATTTGCAGATTCAATTTTCTTGATCTTAAGTACTTAATTAGGAATCAAGTCATGGATATAACTAAAATACTTTGAATCAATAGGCATTGTCTAATCTCCTTTAATGAAACCAATATGCATCTGTATAATACAAGCACTATTATCTTCATACAAGGTAGTTGGAGAATCATATGAAAGTCTACGAGTTGTTTGAATGAGTTTATCAAATGATTGCATCTAAATACATTCTCAAGATATTTTATGTAAGGAAATAATTTTTACATGGTTAGATGAAGTTGCAATTATAGTTTCTTTCACTGATTTCTATGATATTGTAGCTCCATGTCTTAAGAATACATAGCCTGTTTGAGATTTAGTTGTTGCAATATCAAATTTATATCCTACATCAAAATATCCAACCAATCTTGGATTTGTAGATTGTGTGTAGTATAATTCCAAATCTATAGTATCTTTTAAATAATGTAGTAAATTTTTGATGCCATTCCAATGTCATAATATTAGACATGTACTATGTCTTACAAGAACACTGATTGCAAATGCAATATCTGGTCTAATAGATGTGCATAAATATAAAAGTACTCCAATTGTTGCAAAGTATGGATATTACTCTCCTAATATTTCCTCCTCCTCTTCCTTGCACGGATAGTATGGATCATGACCACCACAACTATGTCCAACCATCGGTGTGGACAATAGATAAGCATCAATCATATTAAATCTCCGTAAGATTTGTCCAATATACGTTACTTGATAGAAAAAAATGCTACCATTTGTGAGATGCATAATTTGAAGACCAATACATAAAGTTTTTTTTTCATAGCATTTTCATCTCAAATTCATGTATAAGTAGGTTAAAAGCTGCAATACATGCAGATCTAGTATCCACTAGATTAAGATCATCAATATATATAGCAATGATTACAAAACTAATTTTATCTCGTTTAAAAAATAAACAAGGAATTAGTGAATCACTTACAAACTTATTTATAATTAAATAAATCTAAAGATGTTGAAACCACATGCGTCTAAATTATTTTAGACCATATAAGGCCTTATGTAATTTAATACCATGATATTATCTTCGAGCATGTGCATTTGGAGTTCTTGTTTTGAAACGAAGTAGAAATTTCATATAAATATGTGCATCAAGTGAACTATACAAATACGTAGTTACTACATCCATGAGATGTATCTTAAAGGTGGCATGAACTGCCATTTCAATAATATATCAGAATGTAATTGAATCCATGACTAGAGAATATGTAGATTTATAATCAATGCCAAACAATTGAATAAATCCTTGAATAACAAGATAAGCTTTATAGTGGATTATTTAATCTTTAGCATCTTGCTTGCATACTAATATCATCTTATATCCCTTAGGGCGAGAAATAAGAATGTCTACAATTGAACCAAAGACTTTCTTCTTATACAAAGAAGCATATTCTTTCTTGATGGCAATTTTCCATTTTAATCAATCAAAGCGATGTATTACTTCCTGAATGGTTTGAAGTTTAGAATCTTCTTTCTTGTAAGAAAGAACTTCTTCTATCATAAATGCAAATGATTTGTCTCTTATAGTAGATGGTCTATTCCAAAGGTCATTTGTAGCACAATATAGAATAGATAATTTTATACTCAACTTGGTTTTATTCCTCTTTATTTTAAGATTTTATATTGTATGAAGTGAAGGTATAATGTACATGGATATATTGTCATTAATTAAAGGTCCCGTAGGTTTAGTAGAAACTTCTACAAAAATAATACTAGAATCACCACATGTTATAGCTTTCTTCTTTTGTGGTTGCTTATGTAGTTCACGAGTCCTTGTAATTGCTAATGTTTTAACCTAAGGTATATTTTTTAGTAGTATTACAATCTGAGTGGGTTCATTTTGAACCTCATTAATTAGAACTCTTATAATCCAAGGTGCATCATTGAAGCCATCAAGTATTTCATTTATCATCTATTTTAAATATGAAATCTTGGCAACTTCACTTTCAGCCAAAGATGTTCTAAGATCAAGATTCATTGTAAAAGTTTATGGTGCTTCAAATATAAGTACTATATTTCTTTTTTGATTAAATACTCATCTTCAAAGAGGTGGAAATATGTTCTCTTCAAAATAGTAATTTTGAAAACATGCACGTAATAATGTGCTAGTTGATGGATCAACTATACAAATAATTCTTGGTGAATCAAAACCAATATATATGCCTTCTTATTGATGAGCTCCAATCGTATGTCATTGAAGTTCTAATACTAAAATCCAAGTATGGCAACCAAACACCCGTAATTGAGATATATTTGAAACACGACCTAAAATGAGCTCTTATGGTGTAATAATTTTAAGAGAAGGACGGAGGCATATTAATGTTGCAGCATGTAAAACTACATGATCCCACATAAATGCAAGTAAATTTGCATGAAGAAGAAGTGGCCAAGTAATAAATTGTGTACACTTTATAAATAACTTTGAAAGTCTATTTTAAGTATGTTCATATGGAATTCAATATGTCAACTTAATCTCTTTTGTAATACAATAGTCTTCAAAGGACTTTAATGTAAATTCTTTTATATTATCTATACACAATGTTTTGATAGGATAATCAAGAAAATCTGCTAAAAAATAAATAAGTATAGATATAAGATTAGCAAACATTATATTTTGAGATGACAATAATGAAATATGTGATTTTTTGCCTAATGCATCAACATTTTATTACCAAAAAATAATGAAATGGTTTAGATATTGGATTAATAGGACCTCAAATATCACCATGCAATCTTACAAGTATTAGTGGTGATTCTTGTGGGAGTTTCCAAATTGAAAGCCAAGCAATCATCTTATCTTGCAAACATACTTGACATAATTCTGTAGAATTTGAATCTATAGGTTTTTAATTATTTCCAGTTATACATAGAATTATCTTCCAAAATAATGTAAATCTTAGACGTCTCAATCATCCATACTAGAGAAAAATACGACTCTCTATGATAGATGATGTAAAATTAAAATTGCATATATTGGATTAAAGGATGATGATAATAGAAGCAAGTGAGGATACTCAAACAAAAGCAAATACAAATAAATATACAAGACTTTGTCAAAGACATAAATCTTTTAAGACAACAAGATGATTTTGATTTGAATAGCGAATATGAAGAAGAAGAATTTAGATTAGAATTTTATTTAGGGTTTAAAGTTTGGTTTAAGATTTATGGTTTGGATTAGGATTTAATTTAGGATTTAGGATTTAATTAGGATTTTATTTATGGTTTAGGATTTGGATTAGGGTTTATTTTAGGGTTTAGGATTTGGATTAGGATTTGATTAGGGTTTGATTTAGGATTTAGGATTTGGCTTAGGATTTGGTTAGGATTTGGTTTAGGATTTGGTTGCGATTTGGTTTAAGTTTTGTTTAGGGTTTGATTTAGGATTTAGGATTTTATTAGGATTTAAGATTTAATTAGTTTTGGCCTAAATTTTGAATAAAGTTCAATAGGATTTTAACTAGAATTAAATTAAGATTGAAATGAGATATATTTGAGTGATATTTGTGATCCTTCTAATATTTCTTTAAGAATTTTTATTATTTGTTTGAAATTTCTTTGAGGTTTTTTTGAATTTGATTAAACTTACTTAGCATTATTATGGTCTAATTAGAGCATTGTTAGTATTCTATTAGAATTAGGATTTTTTTATTAAAATTTTCATTCTTCTTTCCACAGCCAGGTGCCCGGAGCATTTTCAAGCAAGACTTCACGTATTACGACAACCTTTTTGTTCCAGCCATAGTCATCAAATTTCTAATTTGTCAAATTGAAGATTTTTCAATAAAAAATCATCTATCTCAAAGGATAGTATGTATTATTATAAAATCAATTAACACATCATTTGATTCATCATTAAAGGTTTTGTCATTCATATAAGCATCCAAATCATCAACACCAATTGAATCCATAGACACATCCATGGTATGAACTTTACAAGCCTCAGCTTGAAGTTTTTTATTTTTTTGAAATATTTAAATTAAGTATTTTGAAGTACGACAGATATATGCCAAATATCCAATCATTCCACATTTATGGCAAGAACGCATCTTTGATTTTTGTTTTCTACTATAATTAATTATAAAATATTTATTCTTTCCATATGGATGGAAATAGTCACAACCATGACTAACCTGGTGCTTATGAGTATTTTTTCCATGTTTGTATAATTGTTTCTTAGATTTTGGAATACTAAGGGCATGAGATTCTAGAACAGTGGTTCAAACAGGATGAGCTTCTATATTA